TCATTGCTATTTGTTTCTCAATAAAATTATGGGGGGAAAACCCAAAATGGTTAGGATAGATATATAGTTACATTCTCTTAATGAATAGAGGGATTTGTTGTCATAGTGTTTGTAAATAGGATATCATGTCTGCATCTTGTACAGAAAATAACCACTAGGAAGACAGTATGCAATGTGTTAATTATTGAAACTGCCATACCAATTTGATTTGAAACTGTCTCATTGCTATTTGTTTCTCAATAAAATTATGGAAAATAAATAAATAAATAAATAAATATAAAAGTGTTTTGAGTCTGGGCATTGTGACATGTGCCTATAATTCCAGTGCTTGGGAGGCTGAAAACAGGAGGATCACTACAAGTCCAATCTGTGTAGTGAGACCCTATAGATTCTGTACTAAATACATTAAAAAAAAAAAAAAAGGAGTATTGTTTTGGTTGTGCAAGATAAATTTTGGAGATGCCAATGTATGGCATGTTGACTAGGTAACAAAACTATTACATACTTGCTAAAGTAGACCCTTAGTTCTCAAGTTCTCAACACACACACACACACACACACACACACACACACACACACACAGAGGTAACTAATATTGTGATTGCGTGGCTTTTTTCCCCTATAGTAAAACCACAGAAGGGCAGATTTGAGCTGCTGAGGCCAAGAAAGTGCTTTGAGATGTCCACTGGGTATCCAAATGATACTGAGTATGAATGAAGTCAGATAGGAGTCTGGAGTTTAAAAGGGAGGTCTCCAGAGATCTGTTCAGAAAGGACTGATTAGCGTATGGGTGGTGTGATGTTTAATACATCAACTTGACTGGGCCATGGGATGAGCAGATACCTAGTTAAACATTATTTCATGGTGTCTTGAGTGTTTTGGGAAGAGATTAGCATTTGAACAGCTGGACTGAGTAAAGCACATGGCCTCCCCTATGTGAGGGGAAACGCATCCAATTCATGGAGGGTCTGGCTAAAATGAAAAAAGCAGAGGAAGGTAGGGTTTGCCTTCCTCTGCCTAACTGCATGACCTGGGACTGCATAATCTGCTCTCAGCACTCTTGCTTCTCAGGGCTTCAGACTTGCCTAGAATCTACCCAACTGGCCTCACCCCCAGTGTTCTGGGTTTCCAGCCTGCAGCTGGATCCTGGGACTTCTCAGCCTCCATAATCACTGAAGGTAATTCTTTGTAATAGATCTCTCCAATTGGTTCTCTGGAAAACCCTAATTCAGGTGTCATTTAAGTCCATGAGCCTTGATGAGATCCCATGTGCCAGAAGAAGTCCACAGGGACTGGACTTTTTAACACAGATGCCACAAACTAAGGCCTGGGCACCTTGGATGTGGGGGAACCTCAGATGAGGAAATCTGCCTGGGAGATGAGGTCTCATCAGAAAAAGCAAATGCTACAAACTGGCCACAGCAAGAAAGGAATGAGGGAGGGTGGAGAGGACAATAGCCCTTACTTCCCAAGGGCCAAACTGGCAGTCGTAGGGGTTGGACCCTCTGCCAAGGTAGCACTGCCTTTGGGAGTCGGCACTGCCTTTGGGAGTCGGCTCTCCCCTCAAGCTGGAATGCTCTGCTCTAGGGCCTGGCCCCCACTGACCCAGACTCAACCTGTCACTTCTACTCTGCCACGTGGCCAGGTCTGGGGTGGTGCCTCTATGCCAGGCTCCTACCTCTTCTGTCATTCCCACTTGTACAGCTATACATACAAAACCTGTTCCTGTTTAGGTCTGTAAGCCAAGTACACTTCGGATTTCTGGAAAGGTTGTTTCTGTGGCCTAGCATGGTGCCCTGACTCTAAGAGGTTTTTGTGGAACAGAAATAGGAAAAGCCCTTTCCCATGCTTTCATCTGGCCAACACTGGCCCTGTGTTAGGCAGAACTCCAGGCCCTGGACTTCCCTAAAATCTAAAGTGCTGGCAGATCTTGCCAAGCCTCTTTCCATCTTGGCAGGGACCCTCACAGCACTGTACCCATTGACACTGAGTATTTGTTAAACACCCATGAAGGGCCTGGACTTGGGGCCCAGTCTCAGCTCTGACACTCTCAAGTAAGTCTGAACTTTGGAGTCCCACCTCTAAAATGGAGATGACAGACACCTCTTAAGTTCCTCTCAGTCCTGACACTTGACAAAATGTTTGGCAGATTGTAAAGAGCTGGCAATTCTCATTTACCAGAGGTCAGAGCTTTTCCTGGGCAGCTAAGTCAGGACCCACCTGAAGTCACATGAGGCCTCCTACTATAGTACACTTTGTCTTCCTCAAGTCTCTTAGGACAAGCAGCATCTTCTACAGGCAACAGAAACCTAGGGAGCAAAAGGGCTTCAACCTGGTAGAAACTGTAAAACACCTACCGACATCCACAAGTGTTTCCAGTGACTAAGGCCAAACTTCCTGAAAACTGGCTCCAGAATGACTGGGCCTGCAGGACTACTATGACCAAAGTCACCCCCTGTTCTGCCATCCTTAACCGACTGTGCCATTTCCATGGAGGGGCCAGCATTGCCTCATTCTCAGGGTAGGGATCTACGTATTCCCTTCCCCTCAGCAACAGACAACACACAAGCAGGTTAAGCATGCAAAACACAATATTTATTGACCTTTATTTTCCCAGGTAACTTTTTTTCACTTGTCAAAGAATGAAAAAACTGAGGGGCAGGGGTGGAGTACAGGTAGAAGTCAAAGGCATAACAAATAATGGATGTGTTATAATGGGCTGAGGAAGCTGGTCTGAAGTTGACAAGCCTGCTATTTCAGAGGCTCAAAAAGTTTATGTCCAAGAACTATGTACTCATTCAGCCAGAACCCTTCCACCTGCTGGAGGAAACTCAGGTATGCCCTGACCCACGCCGCCTTCTGGCTCTCCCACAGGGCATTTTTCAGACCTGACTGATACAGCCTGTGAACCACTACCACTGCACAGCCAATGTCCTGCCCTAGCACAGGTGAGGTCTGGCTCCATCCACACAGCAGAAATGAAAGTGACTGATGAGCACATCTGTGGTACACAGCAATGGGAGAGGAAGTGCTTGTCAGCATTAGATAATGACTCCAAAGTGTAGCGTGAATCCACAAGGTGGGTGCCTATTGGCTAGCCACAGTGAGTAAGTAATAGCGAGCTGACCTGGCCTCTGAACAAGCCCTGGGCAGTGTCTGCTCACAAGGCATTTCAGTCTCCAGGCTGGAAACCACCATAGAAGCAGAAGGAGGAAGTGTTATCTGTCCAGCTGAAGCCTGGGACCGTCATGACTGTCTAGATCTTTGTGGTCAGAGGGCGTCACAGCCTCTAGACACCGAGCCTGGGATGGAGAAGAAACAAGATGCTGATTCCCAGGAGGACTGCCCCCAGGCCTGCCTGGCTCCTCAGGCCTCTGCTTCACCGCTTCTTCTTGGTCTCCTTCTTGGGCCTCTTGCTGGCAGAAGGAACAGGAGCCTTGGCCTTCCTTGTTACCTCTGCACTTCTGGCTTCAGATGGTTCTGTCTCCTGCAGGGCGAGAAAAAGGAGAGTTCTGCTTAGAGCAGTCAAGCCTGACTAAAGGGCCTTGCATGCCCTGGAAATACCAGGGGGAAGAAGCCTCCTTGCTGGGACTTAGGATCCGGGCTCTTTCACTTTCCAGGCTAGGGACCTTGTGGGCAACTCACTTCCCCTTTGTGTCTGGGTTCACAGATCTGTGAAATACAATAGTGAGCCACACTTGGTTGGCTGATGTGAGAAGGCAAAAAGGCATGGAAAGCACCAGAAGCAGCGGCTATTCTGGTGACTGCTCTCCCCATGGGCAGAATGGGCAGAATGTGGTAAGGGGCTGGGTGTGGTTCTCCTCCCATTCACACCACAGAATCCAGGACTGGGAGATGGGCAGGGAGCCAGCAGGTGTGCAGTCACCACACCATGTTCTGTGCCACCTGGCAGAGGTGCCTGCAGGGAGGGCAGAGGCAGCCTTGGCCAGAACTCCAGACTCCCCTTCAACTAGGGCAGCTCCATTTTATCTACCTTATACAGTGTGATTTGTTTCTTTATACACTGGGATTTGATTGAAACAAAGGCTCTGCTGTTGATTCAAAACGACAGATTTAGCCCTGGCCTTCACGGTGCTGATGAAGAAGGTGGACACTGGGAAGGGCCTGGCCTGCCCCAGGCCACTGAGGTTCAGGCCAGAGAAGATTCTGGAGCAGATTCAGGCCATTCAAGATTCTGGAGCAGATTCAGGCCATTCCTGTCTAGTGGCCTCTACAGCTCCGGGTGATAAGGCTAGAAATGACATTAGGGAGGCCTGGCTGGCCTAGGTCACTACTGCAGCTCACAGGCCTAGGTTGGCTCACAGGCAAACTGCCCTTGGCCTGTAATGTTTTGATTGTTAATTTAATTGTGAGGACTGCCATAAAATATGGATTCCCAATTGTTTTTGAAGACTGCACAGCCGATGCCACTAGCTCTGCACTCCCTTGCTGCACCAATGGGTTCCAAGTCCACCCCTTTGTTGGGGAGCAAATCACTCCATGGACTTTACCACTCTGCTGCCCCAGCACATGGCAGCGGAACACTTTGTAACACCCTGATCTTTATTTAACTCTTTTTTTTTTTTTTTTTGGCGGAACCGGGGACTGAACTCAGGCCCTTGCGCTTGCCAGGGAAGCGCTTATTCCACTGAGCCATCTCCCCGGCCCCCTGATCTTTATTTAAGGAGAATAAAAAGCAGGTTTCTCTCTCTCTCTCTCTCTCTCTCTCTCTCTCTCTCTCTCTCTCTCTGTGGGGGGGTCATACATACTTCTTCTGGAAGACAGAAATATTCATATTTAATCTGCCAATCCTCAGCAGCCAGCTAGCTTAACTCTTGGACTTTCCCTGCTTATCAACCCCCACCCCCACACACATGCACTGCCCAAAGCAGAAGGACCACAGCTGGAGTGAGGGAAGGGGAAGTCCTTGCCAAAGGTCCAATCTAGAGCCTTGTCAACTCCCAACTCCTTCTTATTTGCCACAGTCATGTCTAGCCAGCCAGGCAAGATAGCAGATGTGAAGGCCTTGGTGAGGAGTCTTGGATACCCGGGGCCTGAGCTTCCCTATAACAGGAGCGCTGCCATTTCCCTGGCCTGCTGGGCTTCCCCTTATCTAAAGCCAAAGTAATGTCCAAGGTCTCCCTATGGTGATAACTGTTTTATATAACTTGGCCAAAAAATAAAAAAGATTAGCCCATTAGAAAAACAAACAAAACCCCACCTCAGGAGAGATAGTCTCTCAACTGCACACAGACAGCTGCAGAGTCCATGCAGAGAGCTCATGCTTACGGCAAACCCAACAGGACCCAATGCATGTAGGGGCCTTGGGGGCTGGAAGCCATGCCAATGCAGTACCTGTGCAGCCAGCAGAAGTCAGTCAGTCCCTGAGCACCTTGGGCAGGTGAGTGGTCTATGCTGAGGCAACCTGCTAAGATCCGCCCACAGCTCCAAGACAGAGTCCCTCTTTCTACTTCATTTTTTTTTTTTTTTTTTTTTTTTTTTTTTTTTTTTTTTTTTTTTTTTTTTTTTTTTTTTTTTGTATTTTAGGGAAGGGTCTACAGGATGTTCAGGGTCTCACTACTAGATCAGACTCATAGTGATCTGCCTGTTTACAGCCTCCCAAGAGCTGGGATTACAGGCACGCGCCACCACGCCCAATTGCCGTTTCAGCGCACAATCTTTCTACTTCAAAGCTAGATGTCTTCTCTAGTTTCACTGGGGCCCACTACAGAATTCAAAGATGGAGACACTGAATTGTTGCCCCTAGGACCTCCTCACTTCCGTGGACCCTCTCCCTAGCATGACATCACTTCTGGCATCTCTCAGATCACTGCTTTCCTCAACTGACCCTTCCAGTGGCCTTGGTGGGAAGTCTTGGATACCAGGGGTCTGAGCTTCCACGTAACCTACCTCGGATGGCATGAAGGAGACCATCTCTCCTGCCTCATCTGGGCTTTTCTTCATTCCCATCTGGGCAGGCCCCAGGTCTTCCCTTGGCAACCTCCATCAATAGCCACACATTCCTTCCCTTGACCACCTAGCAGACCCTGCCCTGCAGTGTGGCTCTGCCTAAGAACACACTCCAGTTATCTGACTGACTCTCTGCTATTCCGATTCCAGCTGGCAGCATCCTTCCTCTGCCCCTACCCCCAGATAAACAGGCACCTTATGACACCACTACTACTTTACCATAGTGATGTCTTTCCAGGTCAGTTCCCCCTGTTAGCCTGTGTTCTCTGGAATGCTTCAATTGCTGCTAAATGAGTGAGCAAATGAAAGAACAGGCAAGGTCTCCCATAACTATGAGGATTTTATTTTTGTTTATTACTCTGAAAATACACCATTTAAGACTGGGATTCAACCAGTCTATAATCCCAGAACTCCTGGGAGGCTAGGTTGGAAGGATCACAAGTTTGATTCAGCCTGGGCAACTTAGTGACTTCAAGAGACTCTGTCTCAAAAAAGTGGGGGTGCTGGGGATGTAGCTCAAGATGGAAGTTCCAGTTCAATCCCCAGCACGACTAAAAAGGGAAACAAAAACACAAACAAAAAGCCAAACTAGGCTTCACTCTTTCTGTGGACACACATGGTTAAAATCTAATACACAAGCCTCATAGTGTAGCTAGACAACACTGCCACTACCAACAGTGGTTAGCACCACAAATTATTCACACTATTCTGGGCCCTGTGTTAGACAGTATGGGCATATGCTAATCTCATGAAGTGGCACAGTGAGTCCCATTTTATAAACACAGACACAGATACTCAGAGGGCTTACCAAAGGTCTCAACTGGTTGTAACAGAGCCAGGATTTGAACCTAATCTCTTACTAGTTACACAGTACAGCCTGGAGACCTCAGGGTTTCCCGGGCACCTTGGGAGCATGAATACATTGAAGGAATTAAATATGACATTTTCTCTGTGAAGCAGCCCCTCTGGAACTACAAGGTGACTCTGGAATGAAAAGAAGGGTCTGTTCTAGATTCTAACTGTCAAAGGGTCACTCAGAGTCCCACTGTTTGTGACTAATGTTCCTATAGGAGTCAGGAAAGTGGGTTGGTGCTCCTAAGTCATGCGGTATTTTTTGAAGCTGAAAGCAGCTCTCTGTGGGTGTGTGTGCATATTACAGTCATCGAGTCATCTGAATGCATTATCCGTCTCCTCCTCACCCCAGACCTCCTCCTCACTTCCCCATCTCAGTTTCTGGCACTGTCACCCATCTAGTAACCCAAGCTAGTTAACCATCCAGTTATCCAAGTCATCTCTAAGTTCTCAACATGGCTTCGCGCTTTCACATCCTGTCCATTCTACTTCCCAAAGGAGTTCAGACTAGGCCAGTCCCCTCCACGCATACTCTGCTGCCCTGGTTCAGACCCCATGCTCTCCTGTCCACCTCTCACTTTATCACCACCTATGGACTCTCCTGCCTGTCCCTTGCTTTCTCCCTTCTCATCATTCTCCATGGTGCTTTTAGATTCTATTTTCCTAAAATAATAACAAGATCATGTCTGTTTTCTGCTTTTAAAATGCTGCTGGCCCCCCTTTACATGAGATAGATTTGAAGTACTCAGTGTGGTCTTTGGCCATCCCAGTCTAGCCTCAGCCTCATCTCCAGCCAGCGCTCCTGTCACTCTGGGCTACCTGCCAGCGGGAGCACCCGCACAGCACTGCCTTTCATCTGCTCTATATCTATAGGTGCCAGCATTTATCATTTACTTACCTGCACCCAGTTTGTGTAGGTCCCGCACACCTTGGGACAATGAAGAAGGGCATGTCCATGTGAAGGATGTGTTCATGAGAGCAGTCAGCCAGCCACTGTGAACCGCACTTACTGGGAAGTTAACTGAGGTTCACTGAAACGGTACAACCAGGCACACGCAGCACAGCCTCGCTCCCTGCAGGCTGCAGGGAGGAAAAGGCAGCTGTCATGTACATGATTTGGTCTGTAGGTCCCAGCCTGAAGGCTAGAGCCTGAAGCTCTAGCTGTAGCTGGCAGGAAGGATTTTATTTTATTTTTATTTATTTATTTTATTTATTTTGTGTGTGTGTGGCCAGTTCAGCCCACCAAGGGGCAGGGCTGGCTGGCATGTGGTGCTGGGGGATTGAACCGCGGTCCCTGTGCTTTGCTTAGCTTAGCTGGTTCTAAGTAGGTGCTTTAGACCACTGAGCCATCTCACCAGCCCCAGGAAGGATTTTAAATGAGTGACTTTAATTTCTCTTCAGATGTGTGTCACCAGGACAAGCCAGGCAGATGGCTGACTACACACTCCACAGCCTCATCTTTAAATCTGGGAACACTGCCTTCCTCTGAAGCCAGTTTTAAGTTTCCTTGACCATTATGCTGTGGAGGGCAAAGAAAGAAAACCTCTGCTGCCAGTGGCTCCTGGGGCTGTGGAGTCACCGTCTGTGGACACAGGCCCCATCAATAATGAAGCTGCTCTGTAGCCACTTACAGGCCAGAAAATTGCTACTATTCATCAGGTTCAA